TAAAAAAATAACTGATCATCCAGAATGATTTTGTATCGTCCCGAATGACTAGTCAAATCAATACATATCGTCCAAAGCATCTTTTAGGTCATCGAGCAAGAAACTAAGGTTTATTTAACTAGTCATCCCAGACGATCCTGCAATCATCCAAGATGATATGATCGAGCAATAAAATCTTAATTGTTTTTCTTAATTTCTAAACTAATTTAGGCATAATTATAGTGCATTGTCGAATACGATGTCAAAAAAATATGCCTAAAAGGTTATGGTGGATGATTCTTTCTGATTTGAGCATATCATTTAGGACGATGCTTATATCATCCAAAATAATTTGCTTAATTATGGTTGCCTTACATATGAAGTCCTAATTAGGATTTTTATTTTTTGATTGATTATACAGGATGATTTTGGATCGTATAGAATATTGTGATCAAAAATAAAAAAACACAAAAATAGACAAAAAAATTTATGATTGTGTGCATCTAAGATTACTTAGCATCAAGACCCACTTTATTACGATCGACTTAAGCAAAGATAAAAACCCTTATAGTCTAACTCACCCCTAGTCTACCCAATTCGTAAGCTCACTTGATTTGCACTCGACCTTATGGACCTAAAATATTAGTAGGCACGACATTCATAGAAAAATAGGTGTAATAGAAATATTTGTTATCATAAAAATTAAATTTCCTAAAATCAAATGTCCAACAAACCTGATTAATTTTTTAAAAGTTTAATAGCGATGTTAAGCCCTTATGAACTAGCCCAAGGCTAAATGAACTAGCCCAAGGCTAACTAAGAGGGGGGGGGGGGGAATTGGTATTTAAAAATTAATCTTTAATCAAAACATAAACTAAAACCAAAGTTCACCACAAAGAAATTAAAGTACGGAAATTAAATGCGGAAGCAGTAATAAAGAACACAGAGATTTATACTAGTTCGGTCAACTTGACCTATGTCTACTCCCCGGAGGTGCCCTCCAAGTATTGCACTAAACTCAGTGACTCTTCTTTTTCTCCCACAACATAGCGAAGAAGCCTTTACAAACCTCCTTTTCACCAATCCCGGTGAGGCAGAGAACCCAACTCCTTTTGCTTCCTCTAGAAGCATGCAGAGAACCTAACTCCTTTTACTTTCTCCTGAAGTAGGTAGAGAACCTTGATCAGTTGCTGAAGTAGACCTCTCTGGAACCCCCAAGGAACTAAGGATAACAACTGAAGAAGATGACGATGGATCCTTACTTGGAGCAACCTTTGTGAAACCCCTCATAAGATCCTCTCTCTCTCTCTCCCTTTCTCTCCCTCTTCTCTTGGCTCCCTCAGGTCAAAACAACAGTAAAAGATACTCTCTTTGATAGAATAAGAGGTCTTATATAGAAGAGCATTGGAATAGTGCTTAATTGCAACAAACTGACTTTATCGTCTAGGATGATATAAATATCATCATGTATGATTAGTATAAGTTTAGCCCAATCAGTTAGGATGATTTGGGATGATCATAAGGTTTTTTTTTATATTGTCCAGGATAATATGATATCGTTCTGTATAATTAGTACAAATCATTGAATATCATCCATAACATTGCCCTGAATGGATCTCTAGCTGATGGAAAAATAACTTAATTGTCCAAGCCGATCTTCGGATTGCCCCCAGATGATTAATTCAATTCAATGCATATCACCCAGAGTATTAGCTTAAATAGAAGTAGGTAGATGTTTGATTGTCTAAGAATAATTAAGATTTTTGAACTGATCATCCTAGCCGATCCTGTGATCATTCAGGATGATATAATCAAGCAATCAAACCTTAATTACTTTCTTAATTATCATATTAATTTAGGTATAATTGTATTGCATCATTTAGGATAATGCCCTATATGATATATAAAAATAAAAAAAATACCTAAGTAGATCTGGTGGCTGATTTTTTTTTATTTGAGCCTATCGTTCCGACCGATATGAATATCATCTAGGATGATAAGCTTAATGATGTCTACCTTGACCAGGAAGCCCTAATTAGGGTCTCTATTTTTAATTGATTGTCCAGGCCAATTTTTGGATCATCCCAAATGATGTGAGCAAAAATAAAAAACTCTAAAATCAGTAAAAAAAATTTCCCCAAGTGTTTATGTGCAAGGTTACTTAGCATCTGGAACCAAATCATTTATAATTAACTCAAGAAAAGGTAAAAAATTATAAATTGACTCAAACCTAGTCTACCTAATCTTGAGCTAGTTCAAATTATAGTTTGATCTTATGGACCTAAAAAGTTAGTAGGAAAGACAGTTGTAGAGAAACATAACTGTTTGATATCATCAAAATTCTATTCCTTAAAATTGGATTCGTAATTATTTCCCCCTTTTTGATGATGAAAAACACAAAAATAAGTAAAGCCGTTCAAAGTAGTTTAATGGAAATAGTGTGAAGAAACAAGCACAATAAAACACAATAGAATAAATAGTAGAACTAGTCCCCCTTTTGACATCATAAAAAAGGAGGGAAACTAGAAAATAAATAAAGCAGAGACTACCAGATAGAAATAAACTACAATAAGAAAATAAGAAACAATATCATGAAAACAAATTAAAAGAAGGATGAACCCTGATCATCTGAAGGAGGAGGAGGAGGTGGTGGTGGTTGAAAGATACTGGAAAAATTAATAAACTATTCTCCAAACTAGGCCATATCCTAGTCATGCTGGCACTGCTTGTGAGACACAAAAGAGTCAAAGTGAGAAACATCTTCAGCATGTTGCTGCTCCTGTACAAAAATATATATCTTGAAGTAATTCTCCCACTGGTCAAACTGCTCTACTAGCTGATCCAGCTGTGAGTACTAGCGGAGCAGAGCAGGTGCAGGAACAGGTGCTGGAGCTTCCTTCTCCTTAGCTCCCTTGGCTTCTGTGAGCCCCAGGTGGAGAAAAATACTGTCAAGAATGTGGAAGGAGTTATTTGAGTAGAAGGCAGGCTGAAAGTTTGGTGGGGCAAGATATTAGAAGTTGTATTTAGATTCTATGATATAGGTAATGATATGTCCTAAGGCAAGATTGGGCTTCCTCCTGTGTTATGGATCTCTTATGCTGGTCAAGTGCTCAATGTATCAAAAAATCAGATTAAAGACAATAAATTCATGATGGGCCATAATGTAAAAAGTGGTGATCGAAAGGAGTGGAGTGATATGAATGCGATCACCAACTTTTGGAATAATAGAGGTGCAAAGGACATGTTGGATTGTCCTAGCATCTTTGAGTAAGATGCTATACTCTCCAACATGATAGGAAGCATTAGAGTTTCTTAGAAAGTGGTTGGCTGATGCCCCAGTCATAGTTGGGATCTTGATAGAGGATGTGGAGTTTGTCTTATATGGTGGACAGTTATAGAAGTTCTTGATAGTCCTGATATGGGATTTCGACAGGACGTCTATTTAAATAGGGCTGAAGAGCAATAAAAGAGGAATTGATGCAAAGGCTAGCAAATAATTATAATAATAACTTCGAATTGAATGGGATGATAAGAGTGAGGAGAAAAGTAAGAGTAGTGTGAGCAAATAAATCAAGAACATGGTAGAAAAGGATGTAAGGGTTGACAGTTTAGGATATAGTGATCCTGATCGTCTTGTACCTCTGATAGGCGGCATAATCGGCCACCTTAGTGAATCGTGGGTCTTGATTTTCCTTGAAGAGCTTCTAGATGGCATGCGAGACCTTTTTCCACTAGCCATGATCAATAAAATAAAGAAACTGGGAGTGAGTATGAAAGTAGAAGGCTTGGGTGAGAAAAAAATTATGTTAGAGTCTCAGTTTTTAAAGAAATGATCTGATCATCCAGGATGATTGCAGAATCATCCAAGATGATCAGGTGGTATAATTGCATTCGGGATGATTTATTAAAAGGTAGTAAAGTCATTTAGGATGATCAGATGTCATTTGGGATGATAAGATACAGGCGATCATCCCGAGGAGTCAAGCTAGATGATCGTTAAAAAAGAAGATTGTCCTGGCTAATTAGGTGGATCATCTAGGATGATGCACAATAATGGATCGTACTAGTCAAATTTAAAATGTTTAAAAAATTGCCACATGTATCATCCAGGATGAACATGTGTATCATTCGGGACGATCATAATAAATTAATCATACCGACCAAATTTAAAGGGTTTAAATGTATTGCCATGTGTATCATCCAGGACAAACTAGTGGATCATACGGGCTGATTACCAATAATTGAGCAAAGATTTAAGATTGTCTTCTAGGATGAAGAGGATCTTTTGGGCCGATCACAGTAAGTAAAGCAGGATACGATCAGATCGTTCAGGATGATAAAGTTTTGTCCAAGATGATGATAAACAGAGAAAACATATCAGCTATCAGATAAAAGTTTAGGAGTGGATTGAATGTATTATCTAGGATGATAGAAAAATCATCCAGGATGATGGGACCAAAAAATGAAATTAAAGAGGTGGATATAGATGATCAGAGAAGGCCCAAAAATACAAAAATAATAGTAAAAGATAAAATTAAAAAAAATGAAAAAGACATAAAAAGAGATAAAAGGAAATAATTTTTTTTTATTTTTTAAATAAATACAACAACAACAACAACATCAAGCCTTTATCCCACTACGTGGGGTCGGCTACATGAATCCTTTTTCTCCATTGTGTCCTATTAAAAGTCAAATTCTCGTTTAAATCTAATAAAGAAAGGTCATTCCTAATATTTTCTAACCAAGTATTTTTAGGTCTACCCCTACCTTTCTTAACATAAGTCAAATCTAATACCTCTACTCTCCTAATCGGGTCATCGCAAGGCCGCCGTTTTATGTGACCAAACCATCTAAGGCGACTTTCTCTAATCTTATCTTCTACTGGAGCTACTCCAACCTTTTCACGTATATGCTCATTTCGTATCCTATCTCTAAGGGTAAAGCCACTCATCCACATGAGCATCCTCATCTCTGCCACACTTAACTTAGTATTATGCTTCTCTTTTAATGGCCAACATTCGGCACCATAAAACATGAGGTGCTAAATTTATTATGCACAACTTTTATTCATACAACCCTTTTTTCCCGCTTAATCTTTCAACACTAACATTATCTTTATGCCTTTTGGGTGCATCTTTCACCATTAGTTGTACATGCCCAAACTAAAGTCTATCATGTCTAAAAAAAAAGCAGAACACGACATGATCATTTATTTGCAGCATAGAAATTTATGATTGTCACACAGAAAGGTATTAGTTTCAGTAACAGAACCATCATAGGTAAGAGTAATTTATATTTGGAAGATGAGAGTAATTTATCTTTAACACATGATTGTAATACAAAAGGTGTTATTTTCAGAAACACAATCATCTTCATCACAACCATAGACATTGGTTTTTTATCTGTCAGTTCTGAAGCATTTGGATGCGGGAATTTGAGTAAAAAAAATAATTGTATAAAAAAGGGTAAAATATCATACCAATGGCTGCAGATTTATAGTCAACCCACAAATTATTGAGACTTTATTTCATTTCCCTCAACTTCCTATTTCCTTCAATCCAAAAAATGCTTCGGGATTTAATTGATAGTTTACACACGGAATAGATTACCTGACCAATGATCAATTATCAAACTTTACTCATTCAACAATTTGCAATTATATCTCATAAGAAATATAACTTTGATAAGACAAAGTCTCCCCCATTACTATAGCATCAGGGCACCAGAATCATCCATGGCAGTTGTCACAACAATAAATTGGCTTTATCAATCACATAGGATGATTAATTTCATGGTTTACACAAGAAATACATTACAAGTTACCAACTAAAAAGAGCATTCTTTATTCCAAATAAGAAGAAAAAAAAAAGAGGAATATTTTGGAATAATTTTACCTCGTAACACAAGTGCTAACCATGGTTTTATCAGCAAAATCACTTAGCATTTAATAATAGCATAAAAATGGAGAAACAAACAACCATCACTCAACAATTTTCGTGAATTTATTATACTTTTTTATAAATGACAACAGAGAACAGCATTTTCACATAATAATGAAATGATGATTAACCTATATGTATTTAATAAATCAATGGATCATAAATCAGCTTATACCTTGAAGAAATAATTATGACCAGCATATGAGTTCTCCTAGCTCATACCATGAACGAATAATTATGACCACCTTATGAGTTCTCAACTGTTGCAATGGCCTATTAATGATGGTAATGTCAAAAAAAAATTGTGATAATAACAAGAGAGGCTCCGAGTTAACTTGAGCTCAAAACAACAAGATGATAAATGGGAATTCATAGATTGAAAACACAAGGCAGGGGCTTGATACAAACCTTGACCACAAGAAGATGCAATTTCTAGTTCATTGATCCTCGGCACCTAAAAAATCAAAAGACATCCTTGTCAGGAAGTGATGATGACGATAAATCCACACAACCTACATGGGCCTCACTCCAATATATAATTGCTATCCACAAGGAAAGCATCAGATATAAAAAATAAAATAAAATAAAAAGGAAAGCATCAGATATACATGCAGCTTGCCCTTCACAGGCAGGCATCCTAAGAAACGACTGGTAAACCATGCATAATAACAAAAATTGAATCTTTGGCACATGACAATTACACCTGGTATTTCTGCTCAGGCATTGCTATCCAGCATTACAGGATAGCAACCACACTTTCAATCAGATGAGAAGGCACGAAATGCTTCATACTTAGCATCATCTTTGTGATTAAACCATCCAACATGCCTTCAATCATCCATTAGCTATTAATGGTGATTTGCTTTAAAATGTTTAGTTAAAGCCAGACTATAAACCACATGTAGAAAGGAACAAACACAGAAGCAATATCTATTCTACCTGCCAGACAGTCACACCAAAAAAGAATCTGAACCATATGATGGTACTCAGATCAGGGGAAACGTTAGAAAAGCAAATAATTGAATGATAATTTACCCTGAAGATGAAATTTGACCAGAGAATGAAATGCATTCATCGAGTATAACATTATTTTGAAAACAGCATCGTCCACCTTTAGACATCTTAAATGCACCTTGCAAAGCATAGAAGAATACATCTGTAAGTACCTTTTGGAACCACAATTGCAGGGTATCTTTTTCTCTTCCAATGGAAATTTGTAGTTGTATGTAAGCTCTTCACCCGTAGATATATGCCGCTTTGCATAAATAAAGATCTTCTTTTGGCCATCAACGGTTATCACCTTTGTATAGCAATTTGGCTAAAAGAAGGCAATCCAAACATTAAAACCCACAAAAAAATGACCCGGATGGCCCATTAAATGAGGAACAATTAGCTTAAGCTAACCTCACAAGAATGATTAATAAATCTTGCCAATCCTCCCCGCCTGGTAGCATCAACCTGCAATAAATATCATCAATATACGATAGAAGTCACACCTTTATATCTAATGTTCTACAAAATAGAAAAAAAAAATAGGAATGAAATTTTATTTTTGGTTGAATTTTAAACAAGAGACCAAAACACCCAGCACCTCCAAAAGTAGTTTTAACAAAAAATAAGCAATAAACGCATTTCAATAAGTGTTCATTAACATTTTAATTTTACATGCGTACAAATAAATTAGATAAAGTGAGAACTGGAACTTCAGAAAGGTAGTAACAAGCTGCAATGGCTATGATGCACAGACACGGACACGGCGACACGGATACGACACGACACGGACACGGGACACGTCAGTTATCGAAAATATAGGACACAGGTTGAACATGGTATTATAATTTTTATATTTAAAAAATATTGTATAAAAATTAAGTATAATTTTAAAAAAAATTTGAAAATAATAAGTCATTTAACTAGAATTTATGCTTAAAATGATTAGTATTAGGATGTCGAGAGTCATGCGTCAATACCGTTTATCAGTCACCAAGAGAGAAGATGAAAATACCTTCACTGCCAAAAAGAAATGAAAATGAGAATATTCGATGATTGGGTATTAAGTGCGGACGTTGATTTGGTGTTGTGGATAGGAAATAAAAAATTTAGTTTAAATCCCGCCAAATACTAGAAATTATATTTAAAAAAATTCATAAAATATTTAAGATACGCGTGTCGGACAAGCGTGTGCAATTTGTATTTAATACTTTTTAATCGGACACATTTTTGGCGTGTCCGACACGTGTTGGAGGAGTGTCAGATGAGTGTCATGTAGGATACGGTGTCGGACACTGCACGCCTCTTTAAGGAGAAGTGTCAGTGCATCATAGTGTAATGGCATGACAAAAGTCAAGGCTTAGATATAGCTAATCCAACTAAAAAATATGGAAAATCAAATTTAGACATTCAAGTTAATACGCTAAGCAACTTTTGCTTCAATGTTTATCTAGGACAAAGATAGCAATGTTTAAAGCTTAAATACCTGTGATTTTAGTTAATCAACCAATCAAAGTCATAGACATATAAAATAGGTTACAAACTTAAACTCAAGATATATTCAAATAAATTTGGTCAATTAACCTCAAGATATCTCACATATCTCAATCATGTTAATAAGATTCTTCAACCTGCATTTCTCTATGAAGGATGATAATAAAAATGCATTTATAAAAGGTGACTCCTGATCATTAGGATAATTGTCCTTAACATATTCACTCAGTCAGCAATATTCCCTCTTCAAAATCCTTTTAGGTGAGCCACGATGACAGCATTCAGTGAATCTATAACTTTTGAAATTGTTTCTAGCAAAACATTATGGGGTGTGCTTCCCGCACTTTCATGTTTTATATATCACCCCTATCAAGTTCATTTATATATCTCAATAATGTTGATAACATTCTTCAACCTACATTTCTCTATTAAGAACAACAACAGCAACAGCAACATCAAGCCTTTATCCCACTGTGGATCAACTGCATGAATCCCTTTTCTCCATTGTGCCATGTTAAAAAAAATTATCATTTAAATCTAATAAAGAAATGTCATTTCTAATATTTTCTAACCAAGTCTTTTTAGGTCTACCTCTACCTTTCTTAATATAAGTCAAATCTAATACATCTACTTTACTAATCAGGTCATCAGAAGGCCACCATTTTAAGTGACCAAACCATCTAAGACAACTCTCTCTAATCTTATCTTCCACTAGAGTTACTCCAGCCTTTTCACGTATATGCTCATTTTGTATCCCGTCTCTAACAGTAAAGTCATTCATCCACCTGAGCATCCTCATCCCTGCAAGACTTAACTTAATCTTATGCTTCTCTATTAATGGTCAACATTCTGCACCATAAAGCATTGCAGGTTTAACCACCATCTTATAGAATTTTCTCTTAAATTTAAGGGGGACTTTTCTATCAAACAACAAGCCCGATGCATTCCTCATCTCTGCAACACTTAACTTAATATTATACTTCTCTATTAAAGCCCAACATTCTACACCATAAAGCATTGCAGGTCTAACCACCATTTCATAGAATTTTCCCTTAAGTTTGAGGGAAACTTTTCTATTAAACAACAAGCCCGATGCATTCCTCCACTTCAACCATCCAACTTGAATTCTACTAATAATATCCCCATCTATTTCACCATCACTCTAAACAATAGAGCCAGAATATCTAAAATGTCTACTCTTATTAATGACTTGATCACCCAAAGTCACAATCCCCCACAAAAACTATTATTAATAAAATTACACTCCATATATTCAGTTTTAGATCTACTCAAACGAAAGCCTTTAAACTCCAAATTGACCTCCACAGTTTCTCTATTAAGAATGACAAAAATATGCATTTATAAATGGTGGCTCCTGATCATTAGGATCATTGGCCCTAACCCATTTACTCAGTCAGCAATACTAATTCCCTCTTCGAAATCCATTTAGGTGAGCCACGATGACAGCATCTAGTGAATCTATAAGTTCTCAAATTGTTTCTACCAAAACATTATGTGGTGTGCTTCCCGCACTTTCATGTTTTATATATCCCCCCTTACAAGTGCCACCTACATTTTCCTTGATATTTGCCCATGCCAACAACATTTAGTTTTAATAACTTTCTTGTCATTTGGCAGCTCTTCAACTCTTTCTCCAAATAATAGTTTCAGATCTCATCATTTCCATGCTCACAAGATGCTCATCATAATATGCACCTGCTCTTGCTGTGATAGCAAGCGAATATTGAAGTTAATATAAATTCCCTGTTAGCTGCTCACTTTACTATGATTAACATCGGATTTTTCTTCCACTGTCAATAAGTATAAATCATCAACAACAAATAATTAAAGTAAAAATATCGCTATAAATTTGGAAAACAAAAAGTATGAGCATACACCTTTGAAGTTTATCTACTAAAAATGTCAATAAATAAAACAAATGAGCGAATAGATAACCACAGAAATTTTCTAACGATTATATGCAAGGTTTCCCTCACCACAAAACCATCATCTAGTCTGAACAGGTAACTGCTGCCTATACCCATCTTTTCATATTTAAGCTCCCGTATGTCAGATATCTAAAGGAAAAAAATAAAAGCTTTAGTAAGATTTAAATTTAATATAAACCAAATTGCAATAATATAATGATAAAAAATAAAATTTACCTGACGGCGAATTAATTCTCCAACATACTCAATCACAAAATCTTCTGCCTCGATTGGCTCAAGGGCAACAAGGCCCCAATCATGTATCTTGCTTCTTTGAAAGCATAAATGTTTCTTCCTTGCCTTAAGCAAGATAAAAAGAAGTGTGTAACTCAAAGTATTTATCAAATAAAGAAGGTTACTGTCTCCATAGAATGAAAAATAACCAGCTACCTTCAATTGAGTGACTTTTAGAAGCTCAGCACCTTCAGCAGCAGCCAAGAGGTTCCGCAACTTAACCCTATTTGTTCTTGCTGAAGGACCTTTATTATTAGAATTTTGATTACCATTAGCATCAGAGCAAGAACTATGAGGAACAACATCACGGTTTCCTCTCAAGCGGGCCCTTTCTGATGGAAGAGCATTCCGTGACCATTGACGCCAATCCCATCCACTAATAGAAGATCGAGCACAACCGTTTGTCTTGGGGCACGGAACAAGTAGCTTTGAAGGTTTAACAATCCGCCTGGATGCCACCTTCTGGGATGCTTTTTTAACCTTAATCTTCCTTGAAAGTTTTGCTACCTTAGGAGGGGGAGCTAACTGATCATCTGCTTTCCTTTTCAAACTCGGATAACTTTTTGCTGTTAAAATGCAAAGACATGCAAAATGAACAAGCCTGAGATAAAAAGCAGATTAATAAAAAAATGCACAAATTTATTATGAAAAACTATCTATACTAACACTTGGAAATGCCAGAAGACAGGCCTTCAGGCTCCGGACAATCAATAAGCATATGACTAGCATTCCCAATCTTCTTGACTTTATCTGAATCATGTTGAGAAACAGAAAGTTGTTCCACATCGTGTTTTATATCGTCAATATAAACTCCCTCATCTGCATCACGTGAATACTTATTATAATACCCACCCTCCATTATGGACATTATTTTTGTCTCACTTAAAAGTTTAGGAGATATACCAATGTGTATTTCGTGGGCAATCTTCCTCGATTTACGTGACTTTTTCTTTGTTGAACTGCAACCATCAGGCAATTTATTTTGGTTCCTGGTTGGTAATGACGAAGAATAAACCAGGTCTACATCTAGCTCCCTCAACTCAGAATCCATATCATTAATTTGTGGCCAAGGTGATTCAGATCCTACGTGTTGCATCTGATCTATGGAGATGTTGCCCACTTTTTTAATCAATTCAAAGCTCTCAAGCAATGGTCCAGACTTTGGTTTGCTGTGTTTTTTCTTTCTAAAGTAGGTCAAGCTCCCGTTAAAGGAAACCCCAAATGGCCTTGAACTTTTCATCTGCTGCAAACTTTCTTTCAGCTTGTCCACCACCTCTGCTGAATTGGAGACATTCTGCAGTGCATCATTATAGTTATCAGCATTGAATGAACTGATATTCAAGTAGCAAGATTAAATCTATAGTTTTTCATTCGCTAGGAAATAGAGTAAATCTACAGCATGTGTCAAGAAAATATAGGAGGGGGTCAAATAAAGAAAAAGAAGCATACCTCCAGCAAATTATTAAAGTTTTCTCCTTCAGGGTTAGCAGCCACAGGATCCACTTCATGTCTTCTAAAATAATCGCATGAATTAAATATATGGAAATACAGATCTCTCTGAATTCTAGAAATGTGGGATGATACGAATGATCTATTTATAAGATTCTGAAAATCTTACCTAATTGAAGCTGTAGATACTTTTTCTACAGTTATCAAGCACTGGAATCTCTTTCTTAAATTCTTTCAAACCTATCCCGACATAAGAGAAGGACTCTCATACAATTGGGAATTAGCAGCGAGCCTTAGACTCCTAAGTACAAACCTACGGAAGTACCATCTCAAAGAAAGAAAGTTTCTGCAGATCGAGACGAAGAAGATAGACATATCTAATATCTGGGTCTATCACTGTTCTGAAAATTGATTCATCTATAGTCCAACCAACTCGCAAGATTCATGAAGTAATGTACAAAAAATGACAAAAAGACATAAGTGTATGTATTGCCAGAAGACTTGCAAGGAAAAGCTAGACGGGAAAGAGAAAAATGCTGAAATCATTGCATACCTGCCAGGATCTGCCACAGTCGGCTGCCCATCCCGCGTATCCGGCATAAATCCCGCTCAAGTCTCGCTCAAATCTCTGCAAATCGGCGCTGAAGATTGACGCCCATACTCGCGTACCTCGATCCATTCACGCTGAGCTCTCTGGTTGGACTATAGATGAATCAATTGTCCAAAAAATGATAAATTCTCCAAGTGATTGAATTTAAAGACTTGTAAGACCAATGAGTTAATATCGTCAATATCCAAAAATTGTAGAGTATCCGATCCTGTAAACCCTAGCTCGGACTTCTCTCAGGGCAAAATCATCTTTAAAAACAAAATTCCTAACTCAGACCAAAACAATTGGATAAGAAAAAGAGATCCATTCAAAACTTGGTTCCAGAAGAAAGATATTTTATAGAATAATATACTAAAGTAATTTTTCACAATCAAGAAATTTGAAATCAAGCCTTGAAAATATCAAGTGACATATGAATTCTTTTAAGAATTAAAGGTTTGAAAGAGAGGGAAGCTTGCTTTTTGTGGGCTCATTTTATGCCTCTTGTCAATTGAATGGCGCACTTTGCACATCTTTTGATTTTTAATACACTTTGTGTATAATTCTTAATTTGGCGTCATTGCGCATCTTTTAATTTGGCATCATTAGCCACTTTTTTATATTTTTATAAGCTAGATCCCTTTTCAAAACTCTTAAATACTTTTAGTTGTGAGTATATCTTCCAAATATTAGAGAAGAAAACTTCACTCTCAAATATAAGGAAGAAAAAACCATAAAATAGAATCAAAATCATATGATAAATGCAATGATAGGATGACGAGAAAAATTGAAAGTAATATAAAGACTTTGAATATTATAAATATAAGATAGATTACTATATCGATCTCAATCATAAAGTCCAGTTATTAATTTGAGATAGACTTTTATTTAGAAAAGAAAATTACACCATAAAAGAGGTTAGAGAGAGGAAAAAAATCAACGGTGTTTCTCTCTTTAACTGATTTAGAGATGTCAAAATATTGACTACAAATTATCAAAAATAAAAATAAGGCATAAAATATCATTTCAATAAAAAAATAAGAAAAACTAATAAACAAAAAGAAAAACAATAAAGATGAAATAACTACAAAATAACAGCAGAGATAAAAAAACTAACTCAAAATTAAAAAAGAAAGAAAATAACAACAATCAACAGAGTAGTAAACATGTAAATCGGAATTTATTAAGAAGTTAGTTTATGCAATTAAGAGCTGTAATATTTCACTGTCCAAATACCACATGCTCTCATGAGGTCTTTGGTGAGAGCACACCTACAAAATAATCAAATATCATATTTAGGAACCCAAACAGGTTTGGGTCCCTTCTTATAAAAAGAAGAATGCATGTGTTATATTGTGAATCATGCAATTTGAATCTCCACACCTAATGTGTACTACGATGAATAGTGCAAGTGTGTGAAATGTGTCCTAGCATGCTACATGAAAAACAACTAACTCCAGGAAAATGATTTATTAATCTGTTTGGGTTATAATGTCTCTTCCTATGTTTTGGCTTTAGATCAAGTGTGGATGTATTCCAATTTCTCTTAAGTGCATTCAATTTATCTTTAAACCTCAAGTTAGCACTTTCTAAAAAATCATTATCAATATTCAAATAGTGCTCCCTACGCTTAGATTCTTCAATATAAGTTTTCAAATTAGATTTAAGTGAGGTGTAGGATGTTTTTAAAGAATCATGCTCAATAATTAATTCACAATACATTTTATTCAATTCATTAAACTCATCAAGTAATGACATGTTATTGCTTTCATGTTGAGTGTGATCTTTACTTAAACTTTCATGCTATTTTTATAAATTTGAAAATTCCAATTTCAGATTAGTATGAGTTTTCTTAAGTTTCCTATATGATGTATGAATGTTCTCACAAACTTCAAGTAATTGATCATATGTTGGTTCACATATATTTTCTTGATCAGATTGACCAAGATGATCACCCATCAAGCACAAGTTTATTGTCTCCTCTTCAGCTTCAGTCTTAGATGAGTCAGATACAGAATTCGCCTAGAATGCATTTTGGTACTACTTTTTATCCTTCTTGTATTTGGGTTTCTCCTTACCTTTCTCTTTGCTTGAGTTATCCTTAAGTGTAGTACAATCAGCTTTGACATGTCTAGGCTTCCTACATTTATAGCAAATGAGATCAGAAGAACTTTTAAAGTTTTTGCTATCCTTACCTTTTTTCCAATTATGATGATACTTGTTATTCTTCGTTAAAAAGCTTTTGAATTACCTAGTGATGAAGGCAACATCATCGCTTTCAGACTCTGAAGAATTAGTGTTAGTGTTGTTGGCCTTCAGTTCCATAGTTTTCTCTTTCTTTTTCTCACCTACATCAAGATTTCCTTGATTCACCCCTTGCTCGTAAGCAATGAGTGATCCAAGTAAGTTATCAACAGAATAAGTATTCAAATATTTAGATTCAGTAATTGCAATAATTTTACATCAAAAGAATAAGGCAAATATCTCAAAATCTTATTGAATTTTTCATAATTAGTTAGCTCTCTTCCTAAAGCATGCAATGAGATAACAATTTGAGTAAACCTAGTATACATGTCAGAAATCGATTCATAAGGTTTCATATAAAAAAATTCGTAGTTATGCAATAAAATATTCAAGTTTGATTGTTTAACTTCATTTGTTCCCTTCATAAGTAATACACAATATATCCCAAATTTCTTTACCAGTTGTATAAGTTGAAACACACATATAATATTCAGATTTGAAAGCACAGAAAAAATAGTTCAAATATTCTGCATTAAGTTGCACTAAATCCCTATTATCAAATTTCCATTCAGTAAAAGGAAGTTTGGTTTTAATTCCATTAATTTGATGAGAAGGAAGTGAATAATAATCTTTAGCAAGCATCCACATTTGATAATTAATCAATTGTTAAAATATAGACATGTGAGTATTCTAAAAATAAAAAAGAATATTATCAAACAAAGGTGGTCGGGTAAAAATATCCGTCCATAGTATTACGAATTCCAAAATTAGCTATGGATCAAAATTTAAAAAGTTTTCAAAAACTCAATTTTATAAATCCCGCTCTAATACCTCTTGAAAGTTTGACAGGAATTTTAAGCCCTTATGAACTAGCCTAAGGCTAACCAAGAGATGGTGAATCAGTATTTAAAAATAAATCTTTAATCAAAATACAAATTCAAACCAAAGTTCACCACAAATAAATCAAAATGCATAAATTAAATGTGGAAGTAGTAATAAAGAACACAGAGATTTATATTGGTTTGGTTAACTTTGTTGAGAGAGTGCTACTTAGTTTTGCTTATTTTACATTCTTATAACTTGTATGTTTTGATGATTCCAAATATTATTATTTTAATTATTATTTTCTCCTAACACATTTTAAAAGATTTATTTTTGCTCTTATATGTATTAACATTTCAGGAAAATCATACTCAAGATTATTGAAAACTTTAAATCAAGATCTGCTTAGAATGTTTTATAACTTGGAGTCTGTATTTTTCTTTTATTTGAGTTTGAGAGAGTGTGATTGTAATTGAGTAACTTAGCACACACACACACACCAGAGAGAGCTTTAAAAATTCATAATTTTATAATACTAATCATACAGTATAAACCATATTTGTACGGGACGATCTGGTCAGTTATACTCTCCAAAGAGCAATGGAACGAACAAAGCGGGACTTAAATTTTTTTTTAAGTCCTGATCGTCCAGACTAACAAACCCATTCATCCCAGGATGATATTTTCTAGACTTGTGCTTTGAACTATTCATCCAGACGAACTAACCCATTCATCCCAAGATGATGTCCTCTGGACTTGTGCTTTAAACTGTTCGTCCAGACGAACTAACCCATTCATCCCAGAATGATGTCCTATGGACTTATGCTTTTTAACTATTTTTCTAGATGAACTAACCCATTCGTCCCAGGATGATGTCCTCTAGGCTTGTGCTTTGAATTATTCGTCTAGACGAACTAACCCATTCATCCCAGTATGATGTCCTCTGGAATTGTGCTTTTTAACTATTCATCCAAACGAACTAACCCATTCATCCCAGAATGATGTCCTTTGGACTTGTGCTTTGAACTCTTCATCCAGATGAGCTAACCCTTTCATCCTAGGATGATGTCCTCTAGACTTGTGCTCTGAACTTTTCGACTAGACTATTTATCCCATTCATCCCAGGACGATGTCCTCTGAAGTTGTGCTCTTGAACTATTCGTCTAGACGATTTAACCAATTCATCCCAGGATGATGTCCTCTATTCTTTGAACATGTATTCCATCCTGCATTTTCGTTCCAACGAACCTTGGGAATAACTGTTCGTACCGGACGAACCATGTTTATACGGGATGATAATCGGGCATAAAGGCAGTTCGTACCAATGTACATTGAGTTCGTATGCAACAATTTTTACACTATTCGTACGTACGAAATGAGATCATACGAGACGATAATAAATGTACACATTTGAAAAATTGTAGTTTTTGGATGGTTTTTCGTGTCTTTCTTATAAAAGGTCCACTTAAAATTATTATGAAATATCTTTTTGTCATTTGGTCTTCGTGCATACTGAAGGGAAATTGAAGGAGAGAGTGAGAGAGAGTATTTGAAGGAGAGTTCTTACTACTAGAGCATGAATAGTTCACTTGGTTACTCAAAGGTAAGGATCTCTATTTATTATTTGTGATTACTTCACTCTTTTTGCTTATCCTTTTAGATTTCTCGTGAGAAGAACTTTCAAGAAGATCATATTCTCTGTCGACACTCGAGGAGTGTGAACAGCTGATAGTTCTCTGCCTACACTTGGAGAGTGTGAACATCAGAAGGTTCTCTGCCTACACTTAGAGGGTGTAAAAGGATGAAGGTACTCTACCTATAGTTGGAGGGTGTAAGAGGATGACGGTTCTCTGTCGCACCGGGTAGTGGTGGAAGAGAGTTTTTGTGAAGGCTTCTTCGCCTTGCTGTGGGGACAAAAGGGGAGACACTAGTGGTAATAGTGAAA